CGTCGGGAGGGGGAAGGGGCGCACGGGGACGCGCCCTGCGGCTGCACCTGGCCGCGCGGCCCGCGGGCGGGACCTGCCCTCCTGCTGTCCTGGGCACCGGCTCCCGCTGCAGCCGTCCTGGAAAAGCACTTCTGTCCCCGGGTTCCCACATCACGACTTCCATTCATTCCAAGTTCAGAGCTCAAGTGGGTGCTACCGCTTCTGCCTCCCTCCAGCTGTGGCCCGGCTAGTGCTCTCGGAAAGCCAGAGCCGCCCCCTCCTGATTCAGGAATGTTCAGACTTTAGGCACCTGCTAAACAGCTCTGCCAAGTAGCTCAAGGATAGGCTCCAGTTGCCTGCCTGCACAGATGGGAAACACATTCCAGCCGCAGTCACTGACGCACAGCCAAAGACTTAACTTTTGAACACACAGTGGCAGCCCCCCTCGAGTGTCGTTCTAGGGAGTTGAGAAGGCACCATGAAGGAAGGAGGAGGTGAGTGAACCCCAGGAGTCCAAAGCATGTATTCTGTAAGCAGTGATAATAAACATTGGCTCGGTAAGCCCCACACCTGGTACAGGTACCTAAATCACACCTCACAGAGCAAGAGACTGGGTCTAAGATAAGCAGTGAGCAGTGGCAAAGCTGGAATCAAATCAAGCCCGTCTCTTGTTGAGCCTTTACTGTAGCTTCTTATTGCTTCTTCTGCCGTTCTTGGGATCTGCTAAGAAGACATTTAGAAAGATGTATGGTGAACATTCAAAACGTTGTCCACGGCTAGAGACTCGCTAGGGTCTGGGAAAGGCCTTCTCTCAGCTAGCATTCACTCTTGACAAGGCTGGAGTGACTGTCATCCAATGGGGGTTGCTTCGGACTGGGTCCACATAGAAGGTACAAGAATGAGGAAATCGAATGTGGTATGAGTCATGAGACATAAAAGTCAGACAAGCCTTGGCAAAGAAATAGGTTTGATCTTAAACTTTCCTGTCAAAAGTGATGTTACCACCAGCATAGCGAGACACAAATTTAAGAATAAGATCGAGATCCCAATGTTTCTGACACACAAAACAAAACGGCACTGTATTTGTGCATAGGGTGTTGTCATAACTTGACTTGGTGTGGGATGTTTGACTTCAGTTTCTCGCTTCCTACATTTGTAAAATGGGGATTGTTCCTTCCATGGCGTGTGTCATGTGTTGTTCAAGTATAAAAGCGCTGTGCCACTTGTGGAACATTTGGAGGAGTCGCTCCATGAGTTTCAGTTTCACAATTAGGCCAACTACACCATGTAATTTTGATTTTCCCATATAAAGTTCTTTCCTGCCTAACAAGTTAGCATACTCCAAAGACTTGAAATAAATCCTGTAAACTAAAATCCACTTCTGCCACAAGTGTGACTGAATTGCGTGTCTCTCCTTTTGTTATAATTAATTCTTCTCCAAAGAAAAGAACCCTGCCTAGGGGACCCGTCTCATGAGTTTTTAGTCTGCGGTGAGAAAACAGTAGCAAGGATTTTCACCATCCGCTGTTGGGATTGTGTAAAGTGACAGTCATGCCACCAGATAACATAAGAGTGTTGCTTATGCAAACTACACAAAGTGTATGAAAACAAAATGCCACACATATATAACCCATGCCAATCCTTTTTTAATCACATTTCAGGTCAACTACCACAAGGAGTTTGATATTATTGGATTTAGCAAATAAACACAGGTGGATACGATTGATGTGCACAATTTGTCAAAAATTACTGAAGCAAGAAGTTAGGAGAAACCTATCATGGTATGTTGATTGAAATCAGTGATATAATTTTGGTAATGCTTGCTTCATATAACACAGTGTTATTAATAGAGAAAAAATGCTTAGAGTACACAAACTTTCAAATTGGCCACTACATTTTCCCATGATCATATTTAAGCAATATTATTTCCTACTTGACAATAACATTTTTTAGATTATAACAATTCAAGAACAAGGTATATAATAGTATTGTCAAGGAGCACATACCAGGACCGGGCTATAGATCAGTGGTAGAGCACCGGCTTGCCACCTATAAGGTCCTGGTTTGATCCCCAGCACAGGAAGGGGAGAAAAAAGAGAAATATGTTTTTCAGCTCATGGATGTGACCTTGATGATGAGTGTGTTGATGTCTAGTGAGTTTGTTTCTGCATCACACAATTCAATAATGGGAAAGATGAGTTACCTATTAATTAGATGCCCTAATATGTTGATAGGACTGTCTACTTCAACTTACAGTTCTGTTGTGTTTGCTTTATATACCTTGTGACCATTTTATAATAGATATTCCAGTTTATGAGTACTGAGTCTATCTAGAAGAGTGAACCAGTTCTCATATTTTATGTCTCTCTTGCCCTCGATGTTTGTTTGTTTGTTCGAAATTGTGGTTTCCTGGCATTTTTCATCCTTTTAAAACACAGCTGCTTTCTAAACCATTATGTTTGAACAACTTTTCTTCAATAACTGATTGTGTCCGCTTTCCTCAGGCTACACCCAAATGCTCTCTGCTTCGTAGTTACTACCTACTCGTGACATGAAAGAACCCAAGTCTGGGTCACCTAGTGAGCCAGTACTCTGATTCCCAAAGTACCATAACCACAGAGGTAAGCACTTATGTTTTATCCATGTAGCAGTGAGCCTTAGAAGAAAAACTTCTAGTACGCTGGAGTACTCCCTGCCAGTCCCTTCCCTCTGGAAAGAAAAGAGAGGGAAACTGCTATGAACTCTCAAAGGTCTTCAGAGAATAATTCCATCCCGAAAGCTTCAGGTATAAAGTAGTCCAATCATCTTGGCTCTTAGGATAAGTATCTACTACATCTGCTGATAAACTGTGTTTGTCTCAGCCGTTTAATGTGCTTTCTGCTCGTTCCTCCTGTTCTAGGCCCCTTCTTCTTCAGCTTCTTTAGAAGCAATGACATTCTTTCTGTTTTCCTTTCTGGCCTCCTACTGTAACTTACAGCTGGGAATTAATAGACTCTATTCATTAACTAGACACATACTGTCCGTGGGCCTCCTCTGTGTGTATCAGAGTTTAAGGTTTCAAAGAACTAACTTAGAATCCAGGTTTTAGAGGTGCCCTGCTCATCGACTGTGTTTGGCACATTTCCAACCAGTCATTCCCTAGAATCTAACTCTCCATGGCTTCCTATTATTATTCTTAGGTTAAATTTAATTAGTGGCATTCAGATATTCATTTATGATGAAGAAAATTACTTTCAATAAACTACTCAACAAGTCAAATTTCTTTTTAAAATTTCCTTAAAAATGTTATTTGTTGTCTGGACATGAAGACCTAGCCCTTTAATCTTAACACTAGAGAGGAAAAGACAGGTGGATCTCTATGAGTATGAGGCCAAACAGACTACATAGTGAGATCCTGTTTCAATTTTTTTTTTAATTTCCTAACTTGAGTTTTACTGTTAAATGAGACAGTGTTGACAAGAAAAACATTCTCCTACTGTTCCCTTCATACTCTACAGGAGTATCATACATTTAAATCTAAAGGTAAAGTCTCCTTCAACAAACATATGTACTATTAAAATAGAAGCCAGAGGGGAGAATGAAGAAGCAGTATCTTTGCCAAAACCATTCTTTTCTGTGTTGATTCAAAAGTCACGTTCAAAAGTACCTTCCAATTTGTAGACAAAAAATACCACAGGCAAATTCTGATGTCTTTATTACCAAACCTGAACATAAGCAAATAATTATAAAATTCAAATGATAAATTATATTCATTTAGCTGTTAAACATTTAATAAAAATATTCTTGCTGGACAGTGGTGGTACATGCCTTTAATCTCAGCACTTGGGAACCAGAGGCAGGTGGATCTCTGTGAGTTCGAGGCCAGCCTGGTCTACAAAGCAAGTTCCAGGACAGCCAAGAATATTACATAGAGAAACCCTGTCTCAAAAAAACAAAAACAAAACAAAGAAATCTCAAAAACCATTTAACAAAACATCTTCTTTCCCCTTCTCCAAGCAATGTGTCCCCAGCTGTAAAATAAATGATCCTACCTCTGACCAGCTTCTGCTAGTTCACGTTCATCTTCATTCCTCGGCCTGCCAGACATTGGGAAACTTGCTCTGAATTAGGAGCCGAAGGAAAGAGAGTAGGACCGGTAGATGGTAATCAGAGGACTTGATTTCTCCCGGCACTCTGAAAAGTCTTGCTTGCCTTCAAGAAGCAGTACAATGAATGTTTTGGTAACCCTGTGCACTGCATGGGCAGCAAGCTCCTGACCCCACCCACGAGCTACTCCACATAAATAAAACATCATCATTGTGTGACAGCCCAGCTCACACCCATTGAATGTTTCAATGGAATGAGTAATCACATCCAAAGAGCAATGTCATTAGAATTTACTGGAAGGATTCAGAAAAGGCTATCTAATATGATACTGATGATGCAGCAAAATCAGTGACCTCTATAAACAACCATAATCCTTATGTAAAAGAAAAATTCCTGCTGGCCAAGGTCTACTTTCCTAAAATTTAATCACTAGACAAACATGACATGCATATCAACACACGGGAGGGCTCGGGGCGTGGGGAGCTGCAGTGTGTCAGCCCACAGACCTCAAACAAATAAACAGCAGGGCAAAAATGCCATTCTACAGCACAAGGCCCCTTGACAACAAAAGAGATTCACAATCCCATCATATTTAACAATCCCATCATCTCCTTCTACTACAAATTAGACATGATAAAAAGCAAATAAAGTCAGGGGTGCTCCTGTGTGTCAAAAGTATGGGCATCCCCTTATCTCCCTACTGTTGTCTGGAGTCATAGACCCACGACCTAGACAATATCTCGTAAGGTAGGAAAACTGCTTGTAACCTTCTGTGGGAAGACAGGAAGGCAGGAAGGCAGGTACAAGATCTTAATTCCACGGGGAAGCATTTCTTTTCTGTGTGAAAAGGCACTGTCTCGCACACTTTCCTTCATTCTCTGTTTACATGGAGAAGTTTCTTGCCATCTTCTTGGGATGGCCAGCAGGGACAGCTAAGCTTGCCTAGAATGGGAAGGAGGTTTGTAGGATTCATGATTCAGCCTGACCATCCCTGGTTTCAATAGTGTCCTTGCATCAGTGAGAACAAACAGCACTTTCTGCCTGCTCCATGGATGCTTCCCCAGGCTGCCCTTTACTTCCCTCTTGGGTAGGGTTATGTATCAGGAACAGTCCACACAGCATGTGCTGTGTCCTCAATTCTGTGGTGACATAAAGCCATCGATTGCTACATGATCCTTTCATTATCTGTGAGTTCTAATACAAATATGTTGTACTTCTTCTTTGAATAAGCAGGTAGGTATTAATTCTTAAGTAACGTACACATGGACTTCTGTGGCAAACCCCACCATTAGGATTGGAAGGGAAGCTTTAAATCTAGTGGTCTTCTGCGGAGTGACTCACGCTAGCAAGCCAACTGGTAAAACCACTTCCAATCTGGGGAAACAAAAAGGCAGACGTTTTGTTGTAATAGTTGAGTCACCGGACCAATTCACGCACAAAGACTTCATGCACACACCAGAAGGACAGGCTTTACCACATTTGCCTTTAGGCTTGCCAAGGGCTTGGTGATCATTTTATAGGCCGAGTCCCTCCACAGTCCTGTGAGGTGAGGCAGGTTGTGGAGAGAGCAGGTGGCATCAAGATGAAGCAGGAAGCTCACTCTCCCGCGACTTTTTTATTTCTAAGAACACCTGCGTGGAGGAGTGTACGCTCCCATCCACCAGAGGCACCCGGAAGAAGGAGTTAGTCCACGTTATACCAACAGAACCATCTTTGAAGAGCCGTTTCCTTCATAAAGACACTCACTGCTTATGCAGTAAAACCTTTTGTTTCTGTTTTTGCAGTTCTCAGTCCAAGTAGCAGGGTTTAAAAAGCATTTATGTAAGAAACTAAAAGATGCATTAATCTGCTGTTGTTACTACTCCATCCTTATATTACAGAAATTAATGCTTAATTCCAAAGAAACTTTCTTTGTTAATCCATAGAGAAGCTGATTGTTAGGGGAAAACTTTACTTAGAAACTTGAAGATTTCCTGGTTCTTAAGGATGAAAAGGAAAAAAATAAAGAAGACTCATGAACACTCTTAAAAATTGAAAATAAACTTTGTGGCTATCTTTTTAATGTTCATGTTGATACATATTCTTGATCTGAAACTATTGAACATATAAATTTTAACAATTAGACTGCAATCACATGTTGGCGGAATTATGTTAATGGATGTTTTTGCTTGTTTGTGGAGAGCGGAGCCTACTCAGAAGGAACAGCAGCCTGCATAATCAGGTGCGCGTTACTGGTTATGTGCAGTGTCAGGGTAATGATCCGAACTGACTGACGGGCACAGTCACTAGCCAAACCTTGGCTGTTACTCTTCGCATATTTTGCTGTCTACTTTTGTTCCATGTTTCCTGGTCTGGCTTGGGCTATACTGTGTAGTTGTCTTTTCCCTCCCATGAGTGAGCAAAGACTCCAAAGATATTTCTCCTTTTGTTGTAAACTACCTTCTGGTTTTCCTGAATTCTGTCACCTCTCCCAGGAGACTTCCTGAGTCCTGGCTCCCATCAGTTTGTTTTGCCTTGACTGAATAGCACATACTGGGTAATTTATAATAGAGCTTGGCATAGAGGATGGTTCTGGAAGCTGGAAAGTCCAAGAGACTGATGCTGATATTATGGACCTTGAGGGTCATTGCCTGTGCTCCAAGAAGTCGTATTCAGTCACCTGTCCTCTATAAATTAAAGGAGCCAAATTAGTAGTGGAAAGCAGGGAGGGAGGGGAAGATTTTTTTTCAAGGTCGAATTGAAAAAGGGGTCTAAGAGGTCAGCAATCCACACACACACAAGTTTGTGGCAGGAGGGTGGTGTTCACGTAGAAAGCAAGAGCTATGCATACCTAATGTGGCCAAGGTGTGGTCCCCAGTCTGACCTTGTCTCACCTCCTGGTCTCTCTTTTCAGGTTAATCTCTGCTGCAGTGTAATCTGACAACTGTAAATTTTTTCCTGGAGACAAGTGACTTTTCTTGGGGACAAATTCCTCTTCTGAATGCCTTTGGACTCTTCTTCTTCCTGCAGGAGGTTCTTAGGAAAATCCTGTTTTCTTGAGTGCTTCCTATAGTCTGTTCACCAAAGAGTGGTTCAAAGTGTCTCCTTAGGATGTGTCCATATCCGCCAAACAGGCTGGTTACATTGTCGTCTGGTAACAGCCATCTTGATGCTTCATAACCTGGTGGTAGCCACCACCTATTGAGAAAGAGCAAATTGTGTCCTCTAAACTATTGCCAGTTTTGTCCCTAAGGACTTACTTTATAAGGGTTTACAATCTATAAGCAGAGACCAATGGTAACCATGTAAATGAATATATAATAAAAATGTCTTACAGTAAAAAAAAAAGTCTTACAGTAACAAGTACTAACTACTAAAGAAACCAATGAATCAGCAAGATGGGCAGCAGGCTCCTTTGCCTATAATACATGAGGCAACATCTCTAAGGTATGGACATTTGAACTGCCACTTGAAAGATAAAACAACTGGCAGTTACATGAAATGATACAGAATGAGGCTTCCTGGCAAAGAGAACAGATATGCATGTTCTAGAGGCTCAAGCAAGACTGGTACATTTAAGAAACGCCCAAGTGTCTAGTAACAGTTGTATGGTACAGTGTAGGAGGTGAGAAGGGTCCAGACGGCACGCGGGTTTTATATGCTGTCATAAAAGCTGCTTTTTACTTGACACTCCGGGAGAAACTGCTAAGCATGCGGCAAAGCGTGGAACTCAGAAAGATATTTAGGAAACTACTATGGAAGAAGAATAACTAGTCTGCCTTGTCGGTCGGTTGCAGGGAAGAGAAGTAGTCTAATACTAACCAGAAGAGGCATCGGCCAGATGAATTACCTAAGAAATAGGTGCCCATAGGTGTAGACCTAAGAGAGCCATGGCTAGCTCTGTGGCCGTTTACTAAGGGGCAGAGGTGAGGGTATATGACGGTTAGGTGATGAGTGAATCAGCCCAAAGTTTACTTTAAGCACTAGAAGACCGATATGCCTTAGACACCCCAGTAGCTATGGCAAGTTGTCAAGGAAACCAGCCTGCATCCTCCCAACCTGTGAACCCTGGCTATTTCCATCCTAACCACCTACATTGCAGGCAAATATCTGAAATATTTTTGACTGGCACGCTTTTAGCTCAAGGACATACTGGGAACGTGACTGGAAATTCTCAAGCTTGGGTGATTACAAATTTCACCAATCCCCTTGAGTTTGTAATTCATTGCCTCCCTCCCCCCGAAAAAAAAAAAAACATGGAAGAATGAAAAATAAAACAACGTGTACCCTAAAGCCTAAATCACAAAGCAAGAATGCATGCAGAAATTCAGAAGTGAAGAGTACGTTACTTGGACCATAAAGGTACTGAGCGGCTGTCTGATGCCTGGTCAGCATGTGGGAGGCTGAGCAGGAGGACCCCAAGTTTGAGACCAGCCTAAGTTGCAAAGCAAAGCTATCTGGAACAGGAAAACTGGCTTTGCTTGTCTTGCTCTCGAGAACACTGATGTATAGACACTGTAGAAGGAAGCATGGCTTGGAGGCCAGGAAGAGATCTATAGGATTACTAAAAGGATTTAACAGAAAGCTCCCAATTTATCGTGAAAATGGACATGCTATCTTGTGAGCATGAGGAGAGAAGGCCCACAGCACGTATGCCGACTGCTGCAGTCAGTGTCTGTAAGGAGTAAAATGCAGAGGCAGTTACAGCACAGCCTTGGCTGACACACTTTGCGCTTGACTGGCCAGTCAGACGCTGGCAGGTGCCAATTAATTAATAAGACAGAAGCTCCTTGGATTGAGGGCCTCCATTAGTTCGTTTGGCAATCATAGAATCAAGTTCAAGGGTAAGTACACAAAACACAATATTAACGCCACCAAGTACTAAGGTAAAGGTAGATGACGAGTCACCCTGAAAGAAGGAAGTGGGAGTTTCTATTCCTTCCCCTTTTCGATGTTCTGCAGGCTTTGGGAGCGGGGTAGTTGTTACTGTTGTGTAGCCAGGACTTCACTCTACAGCTTAGGCTGTCCTGGAACTCATTGTGTATCTGAAGCTGGCCTCAGGCTTGCTGCAGACATTCCAACCAACTCGTAAGTTAAAAAAAGAAAAACACTTTCAATGTTAAAGGTGCTTAGTTCACTGGATCTGTGACATTCCTGCTTAGCAAGATAGGTCACGGAACTGGTCAGTTTTATGCCTGCAACTGGGTGGCTGACTGAAGCTGCAGCTGGCTGCTCCTGCCGGGTGTAGGAAGAGAAGATTGTACCACGCACAGCTAGGCAGGAAGCTGTCGATATTCAAATGCTGACACGTGGTTTCTACTGAAAGCATTTTTTATTTCATACCACAGTAAAATCAGAACTCACACATCAAACCATCTTAAGGCAAGGGATTGTCTCTATTTCACATCACGAACCTTTGAAGCCCTGCTGATTCATCTCCCTCACCTCCCAGAGTGGTCAGAACGCAGCCACCAGAGAGCTGACGAAAGGAGAGACTAGGTAGCTAGGTAGTAGAGGCAGCACGATGGGCAGAATGAGGGTTTCCAGGACTTCCCTTCCCATAGAAGGCTCAGTCTGAACTGACTCCTGCACATCCATGACCTCACAGCAGCTACAGTAAGAGACTATAGGTGGGGCACGGACGGAAGAAAGCGACCGTCATAGTTCCTGTGTCTCCCCACCCCCCAGCCCACAGAGGACAGTGTAGCCACAAACGCCTTCTCTGGGGAGAATGACCAAGGAAGCGGCCACTCTGCTGTTCTCTCCTGCACCTGGACTGTCCCCCCTGAACTTGACACCATCCAGCATGGAGTCAGGCACCAGGCTTCCTTGTTGATCCAAGTCCCATGCTCACCCGAACACCAACCAGGTTTCTGTTTCTTGGAGTTAAAGAAAAGCCACAGTTATAAGCCTGCCACCACATCCCCAAACACCAGGCTCCAAAACCACTTCACACACTGAGCCTCCGCGCCCACAGGTCTGGCCACCTCTCACTGTCCTGGGCTTTGCCACTTATACAGATGCAGGCCCACCCCCAGTCTCCAGGACCTCCCAGAGCCAAGTCAGCCCAACAATAGGTGTCACCTCTCCTCCAGTGCCAGTTGGTACACCTGGTGTCAAACAACACACCAACACCCATGAACAAACAGACCTCAGGGCTGCCAGCTGACAGTTCAGTTCCTAAAGCCCTAGACCTCGGTTCAGGCCAATAACCGAATCCATGGTCCCAAGCTCTAGAAAAGCCCTCAGAGACTCAGGATGAATGCCTGTTCTTACACCACATCGACCCCCACCCCAGCTCCAATGGACATAGGGTCCACTAAGGGAATTCTAGGCTCCTTCCCTGCTGGTCTCCGTGGTGATAGACTCCAGGCTAGTTCCCATGACTCTGCAAGACCCATCAAAGCCTGCTCCAGCAGACCTGCAATCCAGTCCCAGTCTTTTGAAACTTGGCAAGCACTGGGCCTAAAGTTCCAGGAAGAACCTGCAGGCCTGGCTTCCAGGCTAGCCGCCTTTGTCCACAGTGTCACAGCTTACCCTGTGAAGTCACCACAGCAACAGATCAGCCCTCGGACATTCAAGTACCCAGACTGGCCCAGTAGACCCAGATTTCTGGCCTTCTGGGCAATCCTAGTGTCTGCCTGCCCCCGTGGACTGAGGTATGTGGTCCCTCCAGTAGACCAAGGTTTCCGACTGACTGTCACAAATCTAGGCTTCAGCTTGACTCTAGTGAATTCAGTTACCAGGCCTACCTACCTGGTGACCTTGGTGCCATAGCAGCTTTCTTGGGGAATCTTCCAGTAGGCCTACCCAGCAACTATACCAGATAAGTTTGGATGGACCAGAGTGTGAGCCTCCACTTTTTTCTTCAAATAGGCTTACGGTTGTATCACAGACTGCTAACAAGAAGAAAGGGGTGATATGCTTTCTTTTCTAAGGCTAAATGAGTGATCAAATTACTAATTACTGTCTCTTAAAACTAGAGATTTGCATGTCAGACATTGTGGGAGGAGCTTGTATTCTCAACTATTCTGAGGTTGAAATAAAACCCTGAGTTCAAAACTAGCCTAGTCTACACAGGGAAAGAAAATAAATATTTATAAATTCCTTACATTGTGCTGGATATTAAGTTGCCAGAAATTATTCATTTTATAATTGAAATTTTGAATTCTTCAACCAAAAGTTCTTATTGCAAGTGTCAGCTTTTACTTCATTTAAAGGTTAAATAACATTCCATTGTTTAATACTCCAGAGTTTCTTTTCTCCATGGTTGTTGATGCAGGATTAGACCAGCTCCTTATCATGGTGTAGATGTCTCTTTGATAAACCAGTTTTATCTCTTTCGGATATAGCATGTGATTATATTGCTGGATTATATAGTAGTTCTAGCTTGATAATTTTTTAAAGCTCCAAACTACTTTCCAAAATGTGTATACTAATATATGTCCCCAGAGGTGCTCAGGGGTTCCCTTTGCTCTGCCTCTCCATCAACAGTTGCTACCTTTTGGGGTTTCTTTAACAGCCTATCTGATAGGTGTCTTGCTGTTCAAAAATGTTAATATCTACACATTTTACAAAATAATGTTTCATCATGATACTGCCATACATGCATAATTGTGTTTTAATATGGTCATTCCTCCCTATTACCCTGACTTCCCATTCTTCCTTGCGGCTCACCAACCCCCTTCCCCTTACCAAACAGTCTCTGCTTTACTTGGATGCTTCGCTTTTTCAGATTTCATTATGAAAGAAAGCTGTGCATTCATTACTTTTCCTAGTCTGTCTTTTTTCAGTTAATATGATCTCCATTTCTACACATCTTCCATCAAGATACATGGTTTTATTCTTTGTGGCTGAACAATATTCTATTGTGTATATTGTGCGTATCCTTTCATCTACTGATGGGTGATGGGATTGACCTGACCACTCAGCTATTGGGAATGTCTCAGTAAAAAAGAGGATGCAGGGATCTCTGCTGTTTGTTATCTTTGATTGATTCATTGTGGTTTTGACTTGTATTTTCATGACGGTTAGTGGTGTTGAGCAATAGTTATTGTTGGCTATGAAAGTATGGTTTTTGTGTGTAGGTTGTTTTATCAGCTTAAAGAAGACATTCATAGCCATATGGTGCTTTATATAAGCCTCATGATAACCACAAAGGAAAATCCTGCCATAAGGCACTATGCAAGTTTCCAAATGAGGGAAGCAACCAATATCCCTACCCAACTATGATGCCTATCAACCATAACGATGACCAGCATGGCACCATAACACTAAGAATGCAGTAGTGG